CATGACCTTTCACCTGTGACCCATATCGAAACGGTTAAATACTTGTACTTTTTATGTTCAGCTAAAAACATTTCTGAAACTGATGTATATGAATAGTACATAAAGCAGTGAGCTTTCTCCTTCAATATACATACAGAATTTAATATCTCACTATAAGTGATGTAACATGTATATATGAGTCTATGCATATGGCTGAAAATATAAGTACAATGTAGAGCCATCTATTGAATGGCACCACAAACAAAAATTCATAAAACAATTTTACACTTCGGGTATTTAAGATTCAGACAATTTGAAAAATAAATACGGTATTTACAATAATTATTTCTTTATCAGAGAACACAATTTTAAATAAAAGTACTCTCCTCACAACAACAACAAGACTTTCACTAGGACTGTACGTGATGGTTTGATTATATCTTTATTGGATGTAATTTGTAAATATACTACTAAAAAAATGGAGTTCTTAAAAAAAAATGATTTGTTCAATAAAAGCTACTACTTTTAATATATAAAATATTACAGTTTATATCAGCACAATCCAAACAATTTTCCCATGCAGTACTTCCCAGAAAAATCCTTTTTTGGAAAATGTTCACTTTTTCTAAATTTTTTTCAATGATGTATGAAAACTACAATAAATTATCGTTAGCACAAACAGCCACCCGTAGGGCAGCATTTCTGCTAGTCACATATAATACTCAAAAACAAATTATCTGTGAGATCACCACAGTTTCTTTAATGTTCATAAACATGTCTCAAATATAACTATATAGAACTGGGAATAAATAAATGATTGGAAGTTTTATAATGTAAATTATAACTGTTTTCATAAATAAACAAGATGGTATAAGCAGTATTACATACACCTTACCATTATTATACATTTCTTCTTCCAAGGACTGGCCTGACTTACAATACAGTATTCCAACTTTGTATGTTTTGGACACCTAAAGAGAGAGAGATTGATTACTTAGTTTCATACAAGGAGAGATGTTAAGCATGACTTACAGCCTTATTTAAACACAAAGAGAATAAATTAATAGCTTCTGTACTTAGCATTCAATTAGTATAGCAACAATACCGAATACTACAATAGTTTTAACATGTTAATTGTAAAAATGAGATTGCTGTCTACTACACTATAAAACTGTGACTACCACACATACACACTCACATTAGTTGACAGTGCCTTTCTATTATTGTTATTTAAATCCTTACCATCTGTTCATCAAGTTTCAGAAGCTGTTCTTGAGTCTGACCTCCAGACAAACCCAACCTCAGAGATGACAACTGTATCTCTGGAGTTATGTATTCAAACACTTCCCTAGCAAGTGGTCCACGTTGGATACTAGACCGAAAATGTGAAGGAATTGCTTCTTCTAATACGGCCCCACGCAATGTCCGTACCTGTAGGAAGTCAAAATGTAAGTGGCTATTTCTAGTACTTACCAATCGAATGGGTATTTTAAGATATAGTCATAAACAAAGTTTTAAACTCCTCTCATATATTACGCTTGTCTGAACACATAAAGAAAGATCAGAAAATAATCATAAGTATCTACAAGAACTTGCAGCCAGGACATTACACGACTGGACCAATTTCACATATTATAATCAGTCCAAAAATGACAAACAATGAAAATACACTCCAGCAACTCACCTCGCTTGTTCGGACAATTAAACGATACTGAAACTGTGGCTGTGATGGCGAACAGCTTCCATTTTTTGTACTTTCATTCACTTTTTCCCGTCGAATACTGATTGCAACAGGTCCAAGATTTTCATCGATACCAAACCAATTCTGATGCTCTAACAAAAGTAAAGTTACTGAGTTCTATAAATCATATTTTTAGATTTATAAACTCTAAACAATAAAACTATATTCAGCATAGACCAGGAAGATAGAGTACATTTATACAGCCAATTAACAATAATTTAGTAAATAATTTACACAGAAAAATAAAAGATTTATTATATTACTTAGGTCTCAAAATCCTGAAAAAGAAATACTTAAGAAAATAACCTTTCACTGCTTTTATATACATTTAAATCCAGATTCAAGTGACCATAAGCTTTTATTTCAAGCATATTAGCTAGAAAAAAAATGCTAATGTGGTTAAAATGTAAAAGATTAGATGACATTATATTACTAACATTTATACTATTCCCAATATTCATAAACAATGGTGTGTTATTTTATATTAAGCTCACTTCTCAATTTCAAAATTTTGTGCTAATGCTTTGTCTCCACACACCTCAATGCATTTTAACTATTTTCTTGTAAATGTAAGATCGTTTCCATTGCAAAAAAAAAAGAAAATTAAATAATCTTGTAACTACTGTGTTATATTATTAATCTTTATCTTGAAACACTATATTTGACTGAATGAAGTAGCTTTAAGTTATACTTATCTTAAAACATTATTATATTTAACTGACTGAAACAACTTTAAGTTATATTTATCTTAAAACATTATT